AGACAAGAAGTGGTTGGACATAGGCAAACTACACCAGCATGCCCATCAGCAGGCTGAAGCTGGGTCTCTCCTGAGGGTCGGGAGCCCAGCAGGCCGACAGGATCTCCTGCAAAAAAGCTGCCATTAGCACTATGTGAGCCAGCTGGGAAGGCGAGGGCACAGCTGGGGCACCCACAAAGGGTCCCTTCTATGCTCTCAAGAACCCCTTAGCCGGAGGCAGCCTGAACACCTGCCAAGACGTCAGGCTTAGCAATAACTGTATTTCAGAAGAGCACTCACCCTGCTGGTTCAAAATGAAACATATGCACTTGCCTCACCTTCTTCCTTCTAGACCCCTCACCCCAAAAGAGCAGGAACCGAGTTGAACAGACTGGCCATGGGAATGCGATCAGAAATGGGGTTGCTGGTTTTTGGAAGATGGACGTCGGAAGGCGCATACGGACAGGTGAAAATCAAGACACTCAGCATATGTGCAGGGTGGGCTGCAGTGGAGGGGGGAGCACTAAGTGGGAAGCAGCTGAGGGTCTCAGCGTAGAGCCCTCCTCACTCTGCACCTTGCTGCCTGCTCCCAGGATCCATGTGTGTACACAGCACAGCTTTTCAGCCTTCGAGGCAGAATTGCCTAGGAGAACCCAGGCCACCCACATGACCAGGCAGAAAACACACACTCACTCAGACTTAGGCTTGTACATACAACTGGACCCTGTCGGGTTGCCCACTATATCAGGAACATCAGACAGAGACTAAGACACACAGGTCAAAATACCCTCTCTGGGGACCAGCAGATGGCATCGTGGTGACATTGCTGGGCCCCCTTGTAGTTGACCGTGTTTCGAGTCCCAGACCTGGTGACTTAAAACTCATATTGGGTGTGTGTGCGTGTGCATGTCTGCCCACCCAAGATCCAGAGAAGAGAATGGAGGAGAAAGGAATGAGCATGACCATCCCCTCAGGGAGGATGATTTCTTGCTTTCTGTCTCTGTCTCTCCAGTGAGCACGCGTGCCCTATAGCAAAACTCTCTCTCTCTTAAAAAAAAAAAATCCTCTGGAGCATATGGCACTTGTGAGTGGGTGTGTGCACGCATGTGTGTACAAGCTACTCTATTAGTAAAGGAAAACCACAGTGCAATACAAAAAGAAATGAGCAAACAAGGAAGTACTTTGAAAATAAAAGTTCTGAACCAAAACATTAGAGGGGCTGTAAGATAAAATCGAAGAAACTCTCCAGATTGTCTACTCAGTTTTAGATAGGGGTGGAAAATACATAAGAAGGTAAAAGACATGGGGCTCATTAAGAAACAAAATTTCTGGGGACCAGCAGTTGGCATAATGTCTATGTCACTGGACTCCCATGTAGCTGATCGCGGTTTGAGTCCCGGATCCGGTGGGTTAACTCACACAGGGCACGTATGTGTGCGTGCCCAAGATCCCGAGAGGAGAATGAAGAAGGGATTGCAGCGTGGCCATCCCCCCTGGCGGGTGATTTCTCGCTTTCTGTCTCTCTCTGTCTTTCTGGCGAGTGCATGTGCCCTATAGCAAAAAGTTGGGACCTCAAAAAAAGGGGGGGGGGAGGAAGAAAAACGAAAAGAAGCAGGAAAGTACAAAATAAAACAAGTCTACACCCAGACACATTTTACGAAATTTTACTATGGCAAGGATAAAGGTCCTAGGTGCTTCCAGAAAGAACAAGACAGGAGGACATCCACAAAAGGAAGAAAACCAGACCAATACCAGATTTCTCAACAACGCGCTGGAAGCGTAGTAGACAGCAGAGCGAAACCTTCACGTTACGAGGGAACGTTATCGCGAACTTCTAGTTCTGGTGTGGCAACCAAAGAAGGTTATTTTAGGCAGGCGAGGGTTCAGAGATGACCTCTCATGCATCCACTGGGAGGCAGTGTCTCTAGGTTTCACTTTCATTTTGCTGAAGGTCATATAAAGGGAGGAGACATGAGGTCTGAGGAGGACAGCTGCCCCAGGAATGAATGAAAAAACAGGAAGATAAGAGCGGGACGGCAGGCCTAAAATCCCACTGCTTCGGATGATGAGAATCAGCTGCTGGTCCTGAAGCACAGCGGTTAAGCGCTGCGTGTGGGGAGCTGGAACATGGCCAACCTGGATTTCAGCCCCCGCAGCTTGAAACACACACCAGGAGCGTGTCCATGCGTCCTAAAGCCCTAACGGATGGAGGGATGGAGGAAAAAGGATTGTAGCGTGACCACGCCCCACTAGGGGTGCTTTCTTTCCCTCTCTCTCTGGTGAGTACATGTGCTTTCTGGCAATGAAATTTTTTAAAAAAGAAAGAAAAATCAAAAAAAGAGGGGGAGGAAAAGAAATCAGTGTGCTCTGAGAAAAATGAATCCGACTTCACCTAATAAGCAGGATGCAGAAGGGGCATAAGACCGTGAGACTATGGTAAAGACGTCTGCTGCTTCTTCCAACATGGGGAGGGGGAAACAGTTGAAAACCACAGGCCAAACTCCATACTGCACACAGAACACCAAATATGAAGCCAACAAAACAGAAAGTCTTTGAATAACTGAGAAGGGGAAGAGATGGGCCCACAGAGAAGAAAAGGGGACGGTGTGGACACCCTGACCGGGGTGAAGGGGGCTCCAAACCCGTAACTGTGGACACGCTGTCTCTCATCTCCCACCTTTCACCTCAACCTACAGATGCAGTGTTGGAGACCTCTCAGAGCAATCTGAAATCAGCCTTAGCAAGCGAACACAGGAAGGGCTGACCCAAGCCGTGCAGCAGAAGGGCCACTGAGATACGGACTGAAGAACCAGTTGGGACCAGCAGGTGGCATGGTGGTTAAGGGCACTGGACTCCCACATGGCCGACTGTGGTTCGAGTTCCAGACCTGGGAGCTTGCTTTCTCACTTTCTCTCTCTTTGGAGAGTGATGTGGTGACACCCCACTGGTTTTTACAAAGAACCTTCTGGTCTTTTGATGTCCTCGCATGTATCCTGGATAAAATAACTAATTCTCCAGCTGCCTCAGTACACAATGCAGTGGCCAAGGGTTTGGTAGAAAGCAGTGTGGTTGGAGGGACAAAGAGGTGCCACTCAGAGGGCACCGCCCGCTTTTGACTATGACTCGAATCACTTGTATTGCTGTGGACCTCTCCACCTTAGCAAAGCATTAAAAAGAGAAAAGACAAGATGCCCCCTCCTCCAGGAAAGATCGTTCTCACGAGCCAGGAACTGCTGCTGGAAAAATCTGTTTTCACTTTCCCACTTCCTGCCCTCGATCTGGTTTTAAAAGGCTTCAATGCACCTATAACCCTGCACCAAAAGAAATCTTTCTCATCAGTTCAGAATGCTAGCTGTGCTCTAAAATGATCTGAGGAGTGAAATGAAAGGGGAGAAAAGCCCCAACTAACCATCGCCCCACCCCATGCCAATTGAATCTGTTTCTCACTCGGGTTGGCCCTGACTCTGGTATTTTTGCAAAATTTCTAAGGATTCCCTCAATCAGCTCTGCTCCAAACCTCCACCTCCTTGAGGATGGCCTCCAACATTCTCCCTCCAAGATGCTACATGTGCAGAAAGGGACCTGAGACTGTTACCAGGAGAGCAATTTACTGGCCATCTTCCTTTTGGATACGACAAACCTACACACATATTCTGGCTTATGCAAGATGTCTTCACTAACTTCACTGTAAAGGTAGTGATTGGCGAGGATGTAAATAGCCAGTGACAGGCCTGTCCTTCTGCAGTGGGCGGAGCACTCTGCTCACAGCAAAGAGCAAGCGATGCATAAAACTGTCTCGGGAGGGATTGGAAGACCGGCGGGAACAGCTTCACTGACTATGTGACGTCTGATTGAACTGCAGACTCTGACGGAGCAATGACTCTTATTCTGGTAGAAGCTTATTTAAAACATGATGTCTTCCTTCCTCACCTACACGGCCACAAAGGAGCCCAGTTCAAGTTTATTCACTTGAAGTGTCAAAGAAGATTCATCAAGTGACTCATCTTTTGAAACTGAACCACTGACCTCAAAGACTACTTTCGAAAGATTCAAGGAAAACAAAACAACAGAAAAAAAGAAAATGCAAGTCAACAGGAAGACCAGGGCAAAGACAAAAAGAAAGGAGAAACACCAGAAAGCTCACAAATCCCGATAGGTAAGAAAGGAGCCAGAGGGCCAGCAGGTGGCATGGTGGTTGAGGTGCTGGACTCCCCCACGGCTGACAGTTATAGTCCTGGAGTTGGCGGCTTGCTTTCGCACTTTCGCACTTTTCGCACTCTCTCTATCTGTCTCTCTGGTGAACTCACATGCCCAAGAACAAATTTAAAACAAAACAAAACAAACAACAAAAAACAGTAATAATAACAAATAAAAGTAAACAATTCTTTAAGGAGAAAAGATCCAAGTTAAAGTCAAAGGCAAAGGTACAAGTTATCATTTATAGACTCGGAGTGGAAGAAAACCGTTACTGTGGAGGAAAATTTTAATCTTTGAGCAAGCTGTTGCCAGGGGATTTTTTTTTTTTTAAAGAGATTTTTGTCTTAGGTTGAGTGTGCTCACTGGAGAGAGACAGACGCAGTGAGAAAGTGAGAAATCGCCCTCCAGGGTCTGGCCATTCCGCAGATCTCTCCTCCTCCGATCTCCTCTTGGGCACGCATGCACACACACCTGGCGTGATTTTCAAGCCACAGGGTTGGAGATTCGAACTGTGACGTAATTACGCCATCTGCTGGTTTCAATTCATGAACTTTCTAAGACTATCTGAAAAAGTTTATGAAAAAGGGGCCAGCAAGTGCCGTAGTGGTTAAGGCGCTGGACTGCCACACAGTCAGCTGAGTTTGAGTCCTGCACCTGGTGACTTGAAATTCATGCCAGGCAAATATATGTGCATGCCTCAAATCCCAAGAGAAGGATGGAGGAGAAGGTGCCATGCCCCTCCCCCCCCCGGGGGGGTGATTTCCCACTTTCTCTCTTGCATGCTCCCTATAGCAAAAATCTCGGGAAAAAAAAAAGTTTTCGAAAGAAAGTCCTAGAGAATGAACTAATCAGAAGAAGCAATAGCAAGGGAAAAGGTAAGTTACCAGTTAATAAAAAAATGAACAGAAAAAAAAAAGTCCAGTGACAGAAGTAGTTACAGTATCCTACAGCTACAGACAGGCTGAAAGTGAGGATGGGTTAATGACCGATGTAAGGAGCAGAGGAAAATGTCCCGTGGAAAGAAATCACATGCGTGTGCACGCACACACACACACAAACACACACACACACACACAAAGTCAGCTATGTTAAGATCTTGATTTTGTTAAAGATATGTATTGTTTAAATATATTTTAAAAAAGACTGGAAGCGGGGCCAGCAAGTGGCATGGTAGTTAAGATGCTGGTTCAAGTCCTAGAACTGGTGGCTTGCTTTCTCCTTCTCCCTCTGTTTCTCTCTTTCTGCCTCTCTCTGGTCAAATCAAATAATACATAAATAATTAAATTAAATTAAATAAATAATTATTAAAAAAAAATAAAGGTCAGAAGGTAGGAGCTACTTTAGCTGCCATTTGAGCTGTCCTAGGGCCCAGCTTAGGAGGCTATAGAAATCCAGAGGCCCAAAACTCCTTTCATTTTTCCTTTTTAATGGCAGAAAGCATGGCAAGGTGTAAGCAGGGGAAAGAGGGAAAAGAGAAGGGGAGGAGCAAGACAGAGAGGTATTTTTGACAGGGTCTCACCATGTCACGATTCCCCTGTGCCAGCCTCCCAGCTGGCTGGGACCACAGGTGCCCCAAGCAAGCCCCTCTGGCCTGTTTTAAGTTTGGCCTGGAATCCAAACGGGCAGCCTCAGTCATTGTGCAGTGGCACCCTCTGACCTGTGCCACCACAGCTGGGTCCCCACACCCATCTCTGAGCCCACCTCTACCCTCCCAAGGTATCCAGGGAATGCCACAGTGAAGGTGGAGTACATGGACTCTGGTCCAGAAGGAGACCAAGAAGGATAAGCCTAAGAGCATCGGGGAGGTCATCTTTTAAAAAAACAAAAAACCTTGTATTTTAAACTTGCTATAGGGTATGCATGTTTGTCAGAGAGAGAAAGTGAGAAGCAGCCTTCAGGAGGGGGATGGCCAAGCCGCAATCCCTTCTCCTCCATTCTCTTTGGATTTTGGGGATGTACGCACACACGTCTGGCGTGTTTCTCAGGCTGCTGTGTCTGGGGCTCAAGCTGCACAGGCAGCCATGTGAGAGCTAGCTGCCTTTACCACCTTACCACTGGCTGGCTCCATAATGCCATGTTAAATGAGCCTTTTGAAGACAGCCTAGGTGCTTGCTACCTGTCATCTGAGGACACTATGAAGATCTTGGAGGAAGATGTGGTTGGATTCTTCGCCATGCCTGTCCGTGTGTGGTGACCCTGCAACTCCGCCTGCATCTCGCAGCCTGTTAGATCCTGACCTAGACAAGTGCCCGGTGGCCCCTCTGAACACATGCATAGTTAGGCTCTCCAGGGACCTCCTGGAGTTACTCATTAACATCGAGACTGGTCCAGGCCTCTCTGACTCAAGAGCACATGCTTATCGCTGATCCCACGGATAACGTGAGCCCTGGGACTCCTTCACGTAGCACCACGCCCAGGAGGGGGACCTTACAGATGCAGAGAAGCCATGCGGAACAAGGAAGTCAGTAACCAGCACTGAGATCAGGCACATTAAACACCAGGTTGCTGTGGAAACCTCGCCTTGCTCTTGAACAGGGAAGAAAAGCATTGTTGGGGGAGATCTGATACCAGAGTATACTCCATTATTTGTATTTGGGAAGTGACTAGTTTCTTAACTATCCTCTTCCTTGTAAGTAACACAGACTCTACTCTCTTTTCATTCCATACATTGATTAAAACCATCATCTTAAGAAAAGAAAAAAAGAATGGGAGGAAATAAAAAAGTTAAAGGTGGAAGGACAATAACACCTTTTTCTTTTCTTCTTTCTGTTTCCTGGCTCTGGTCCCTGCTTTCAGTAAAGACACGCTAAGGCTGACCTCCTGTGCAGACACCTCTGGGTGGCAGGGTCCCTCACAGGCCGCTCTTCAGCTGGGTGAATGCAGGAGCCACACGATGTGCCCAGACCCACCCTGCCACCTGCCTCCCGCCCCGGCCAGTTGCTACTCACGCTGACTTCCTTTCCCAGGCTCACGGAGGCCAGGACCCGCTTCATGCCTTCCCCGCTTCCAATCTGCCAGATCAAGGCCTCAGCAGGTTGGTTCTTAAAGGGCCAGTCTCTTGCTTGTAGCTCATACCAAATAGTCCTGCGGAGACCCCAGCACATGTGAGCTCCTGGACTGCTCTGCCCGGCTCCTGGCTAGGGGTGGTGGTGCGGGTGGTGGCTAGGGGTGGTGGTGCGGATGCACAAGGCCAGGCGCTGCGCTAGAACATCAGAATCTCCCTGCCCTTCCGTGCCCACCAGTCTATGGGATATGCCATGATGGCATCCTGGGGACTCCCCCGGTCCTAGACCATCTGGGCTCTGTGCTCCCATTGCGGCGGGCGTGGGGGAGCCTGAGGTGGCACAGGCTTGCACCAAACGCTGATGTCATTCTGACCCCACCTTGCCACTTTGAGGCCCTGGTCCAGCGGCTAACCTCAGGGGGCTGAGGTCCACCTACAAAGTCATCTGAGGAGTAACCAGAGTGCCATGTGCAGTGCATGGCGTGCACACGTCAGGGCTCAGGGGATGCCACAGTTCCAGGTCAGGGAGGAAGAGATGTTGCTGTGGCCACCCCAGCAGGCAGGATACCCAAAGGAGGCCGTGGGTGGGGGGGGGTGACGAGCCTTCCTCAGCCTCTCCAGGTCCCCTGGGCTTTCTCAACTCTTTGGGACAGATAGGGCCTTCTTCACTGACCTGACTGTCCAACACAGAGGTCACTCACCACATGGGGTACCGAGCAATACAATGTGGACACACTGTAGTGTGCTGTAACTGATTCTGAAGACTTGGGGACAGAGAATATAAAATAGCTCATCAGTGTGTATACTGACTACATATTGAAATGGTAATACTTTGGATATACCGAATTAAAGTATATTATTAAAATGAATTTCATGGGCAAGCAGGTGGCATGGAGATTAAGGCGCTGGGTTGCACATAGCTAGCTTCATGGTTCAAGTCCCAGACCCGGAGGCCTGACAATCACACTGGGAACGTGTGTACATGCACAAAATCCCAAGGGGATTTGTGACGTGGCTATCCCCCTGGGGAGGGGGTGACTTCTCACTCCCCACCCCCGTCTCTCTCTGGTGAGTACAGATACTCTATTACAAAAATTGAAAAAAGAAAAAATAAAGCCAAAAACCCCCACAAAAACAACCACCAATTTCACCTGTTTTTCTTTCTCGATGCAGCTACTAGGAAACGTTGCATATCTGGCTTCCATTATGTTCTACTGGCTGGGATGCTGGCCAACAGCTCTTCATGGGGTTCTAGAGACGGGGGCTGCAGGACACCCAGTCTCCCAGGGCAGGAGGGACAGCTCTTGGTCAACCCTGGGGAACAGCTTCAAGGGTCAATGGGTAACCCTCGAGGGGTGTTAAGTTACACAAGGACCTAACTTAGGCTTCATTAAATGACCCTGCAGGTGAGTGCTATTACCTTCCCCATCTCATAGGTGAGGGGACAGAAAGTCGAGGATGTGGTAACTCAACACACAGCAGTCAGGACTCAGGACCAGGTGTGCTGTCACTCCTAAGCCTGGGTTCTGAGCTCCTCAAAGCCTGCCTCCCTGATCTGAGGGCCACCACAGCCTTCTCTTTGGGCTACTCTGGCCTCAGAGCACTAGGGGTCTGCTCACCCAAATGCATAGACATCAGCAGCTTTGGAGAATGGCAGCTGGTCCTCATCCTTCCCAGGGGTCATTTCACGCACGATTTCGGGGGCCAGGTAGCATAGCCAGTCGTGTGACAGCTTCAGCTGGTTCTCTCGCCTGGAGCCAAGAAGCCAGGACAAGGACACAGACCTTTCAGCAGGCAGCTAAGAGGTCCACCTGGCATACGTCTGTCCCCAGGCTGGAAGGCCACCCACACAAGCCACAGAGAAAGCTCCCACACCCAGCGCTACCTCACACTCGCACATGTGCTGTGTCTTTGGGGCCTGCTACAGGAGGCTCAGCAGGCTGAGATGGGCCCTGGCAGGGAGCTGTGCTCGGAGCTGCTGGGTTCTCCAGCTGGAGAGCGGGCAGTGCCCATCTCAGAGGTCAGACCTGATGGAGGATCGCAGCACTCTGGGGCTAGCTCTCCGGTCTGGCTGCCGCTTTCCCCCTGGGGAGGAGCCTTCCTCCCCACCTCAACCCCTTTAAGATCTGGAGAAATAAAACCCGATGTGAGCCCTGGTCCCTTGCCCAAGTCAGTGGGCAGCCAGGGCAAAAGTGAGTGAGGGCATCCAGCTTCCATGAGACTCATCCAGTGCTAGGAGGGACCTAAATGTCACCCAAACCCGATTCTAAACCAGAACCACAGGGGCAGGATCAAAGCAAGTCGGCCTCCCTGCAGGGAGGGCTACTTCTCAGCAATAAACGGCCAGAGGGCCCAGACCGTGGCTGGACCCCAAGCCTCCCCATTCTACCAGCTCCTGCCCACCTGGACGTCCAACGCCAACTCACCGTCCCTCTCGGACCACGCCCGAGATCCCAAACAGCCCGAAGTCTGTGATGACCACCTTGCCGTTGTCGTAGAAGACGTTCTTAGACTTGAGATCTTTGTGCACAATGCCCTTGGCGTGCAGATACCCCATGCCCTGGAAGAGAGCGAGCACAAGTGAGGGCAAGTGAAGCTGTGTGATGACAGCTGGGCTCCTACCTTGGGCCAGATCCCCTCAGTCCTCCAGTGTCCTGCCCCCATTTCGCAGACTTTATACTTTACACTGCGGCTTGGAGAGGGGACACCACTTGCCCCAAGCCACACAGCAATTCAGGAACAGAGCTGAGACCTGACCTCGGGCCAGTCTATACCCTTCACACTGCCATGCTGCCCACCCACCTCAGGCTTGGGGAGGCAGGAGGGGCAGACAGTGTGAGGGAGTCGGGGGCAGAGGGGTTGAGGTGTGTGTGACACATGCACCATCCTGGTCAGGTCATCGAGGCCCCTGATGAGTGGGGGGTCTCAGGTCGAGGAACAGGGCATTCCCACAGAGGAGACCCCAAGTTCAGGAAGTCCTAATATCTGTGCTTTGGTAGAAGGAGCCCTGGACTAAGACTGGAATCTTGGGTTGGAATTCCATCTCAGCTCTGATTCTAATTCCCAGGGTGGCTTAGGTCAGCTCCTCCGAGCCTCGGTTTCCTTGTCTATGGAGTGAACAGGCAGTGGGAGCTACTTTCCAACCAAGGCTGTTTGGACTGAGCACTGAGGGGCCAAGTGCACGAACAGGTGACCTGTCATAGCACAATCTCATCCGAGGGCAACACTGCCTTCTGTTGCCAAACCCAGGACTCCCATGGACCCCCACATCCTTGGGAACAGGAGCGAGACACAGGCATGGCCGCTCTGACTGGCTCAGAAAGAAGCAAACCTAAATCCCCCACTGCAGGATGCTCACGCATTACAGAGAAACCTCCCTGACTATAATGGTTACGGGGTGAGGGGTGGGGAGGGGACATTAGGGAAGAACAAGCCACACTCAGGGAACAGAAAAGGGGGTGAAGCCAGGCAGAAGTCAGCACAGCAAGCTCTCAGTCCATGTGGGCCCATGGAGCTGCAGAAAGAATGTAGACACAGCAGATTCTCCTCTGAGCAGGACAGGAGGCATGGGGTGTGCTGAAGCCACTTAGGGCGGCCTGCTGAGGGCTGTCACCCCACAACAGAAGCAGGGAGTGTGTCCTGAATGCAAAACCGTCCTTAAAGGATGCCCATCTCCCAAACCAGATCCAGGCACGAGCACCCCCATAGCCAAACAGCCAAAGCTCCACCTTGGGTTGAACAGGAACCAGCTGTGTGACCAAGGTCAGCTGCTGCATGTCTCTGAGCCTTAATTATGAAGTAGGTTTCACGGCCCGAAAGGCCCAAATGAAATGACGGGACAGGATGTAAAATGCCTCGGTCTCAGGACACAAAGCTTCCCGGCTTCCCGGAATTGTATGGAGTTTCCGTGGCAGCCCCAAAGTCTCTAATTCTCTAACCAAAGGTCAGGCCTCGTATTTATTTCGACAGTGGAAGCATCAGAGATCACTGCACAAAGGAAATGGCTCAGAAGTTCCCAGCAGAAGGGGGAGGGGGGAGTTTTTAGCAAGCTGACAACCAAATAAGCCAGCAGAGTGAGATGGCTTTCACCCCTGCAGCTCGAAAAGCTTGTAGCAACTTCTCCTCTGCCCTGGACTCTTCCGGATGGGCCATTCATCAGAACTCAGCCACACTGTGGGAACAGTAAGGGATGGCCTGAGGGAGGAGGGCAGAGTAGGGCAGACAGGGAGGGGAGGGCCTGGCAAGTTTGGGGAGAGAATAAGGTAGATTCCATGCTCTAAAGGGGACAGTCCACGAATAAAGGCATTGACACGTGACAGCGATCCCTTGGTATCTGTGGGGGACTGGTTCCAGGCCCGAGGATACTCAATTCTTGGAGGCGCGAGTCCCTCATGGAAAAGGGTGGTATTTGCGTATCACCTAGGCACATTTTCCTCTGTATTTAAATCATCCCTAGGTTACAAATAATCCCTAACATAATGCAAATGCTATGTAAATAGTGGTTATGCTGTATTTGAAAGCTTGGTATTATTATTTTTTCTTTCAAATAATTTTTCGATTGCCAGAGGGTGTATGCAGTAGCCAGAGAGAGGGGGAAAGCACCCCGTAATAGGACGTGGTCATGCTGCAATCTTTTTTCACCATTCTGCATCTCATCAGGGTTCGGGGCACACATGCACACGTCTGCAGCATTTTTCAAGGTGCCAGGGCTGGGTTTCGAACTGTGGTCAGCCATCTGGGATACGGTTCTCCATACACAGCGCTTAGTGGCCATGCTACGGGCTGGACCTTCCACAGTTCAGTCCATCAGTTTAGCTGCATGGGAATGGCGTGGGCCAGCCTTAGTGTGTCCACACATATCACTGTGATTTTTATCCTGAAACTCCTGAAGGTACACAACACGGATGAATGCAAGAAAAAGAAGGGTGGGGGAGAGAAGAAGATAGGAAAAAAGGAAGGAGAGAAAGAGGGAAATGCTTGATGGGAGCTGGGAAGTGAAAGTTTTCCACTCAACAACAAAAAAAGAAAGAAAGAGAAGGAACTGCTACCCGCCAGGACTCTAGTTTTTTCTTTTTTCTTTTTCTGGCCCTGTTCATTGCTAAAGGAAGTAACAAATGATCTTTTCTTTGTTATTTAATTATTTTTATTTAATTTTATTTTAGTCTTTTGTTATAGGGCATGGGTACTTGGTGGAGAGACGAAAGAGATATACGAGAGAGTGCAAGTGAGAAATCGCCCCCAAAGGGGGACGACCACACCGCAATTCCTTCTCCTCCACTCTCCTCTCAGGATTCTGGGCACACACAAACGTGCCCAGGGTGATTTTCAAACCACCATGTCTGGGAGTCGAACCTGGCAACTGGTCATGTGGGATACAGTCACCTTAACCTTTGCCACCACCTGCTGTCCCTGTTGTTTAATGATTTTTTTTTTAAATGATGAGAGAAAGGAAAACTGCTGCCTGAGTTGAGCCTGAGGACTTATCCTCATAAAAACCCGATTTGAGACCTTTAAGGCAGAAAGTGTGGATTCTTTTGTACCCCCTGAGGTCAAGCCCCACTGCCCCTACCCATGACTGACCTGACGGAGCGTCACCAAGCGCGAGGCTCCGTGCCAAAGGCTCTCTCCATAGATGACTGACTTCTGTCCTGCACTAGCCCAATAAGGGACCTTATGTTGGAATCTTCATTTTGTTAAATGTTATTTGACTTATTTATTATTATTACTTTTAAAGAATTACTGTACACTCTCCTCTCAGGATTCTGGGCACACACAAACGTGCCCAGGGTGATTTTCAAACCACCATGTCTGGGAGTCGAACCTGGCAACTGGTCATGTGGGATACAGTCACCTTAACCTTTGCCACCACCTGCTGTCCCTGTTGTTTAATGATTTTTTTTTTAAATGATGAGAGAAAGGAAAACTGCTGCCTGAGTTGAGCCTGAGGACTTATCCTCATAAAAACCCGATTTGAGACCTTTAAGGCAGAAAGTGTGGATTCTTTTGTACCCCCTGAGGTCAAGCCCCACTGCCCCTACCCATGACTGACCTGACGGAGCGTCACCAAGCGCGAGGCTCCGTGCCAAAGGCTCTCTCCATAGATGACTGACTTCTGTCCTGCACTAGCCCAATAAGGGACCTTATGTTGGAATCTTCATTTTGTTAAATGTTATTTGACTTATTTATTATTATTACTTTTAAAGAATTACTGTATTTACCTTTACGTATTTTTTATTTTATTTTGACCAGAGAGGGACGGGGGGAGGGGGGGATGAGAAAGCAAGCTACCAGGTTCAGGACTCGAACCGCAGTCAGCCAGGTGGAGTTCAGCACCCCAACCACTATGCCACCTACTAGCCCCACTTATTATTTTTTAATTTGACCAAAGAGAGAGAGGAAAAGTGGGAAAGCAAGCTGCCAGGTCTGGGACCTGAACCACAGATGGCCATGTGGGAGTTCAGCGCCTTAACCCTCATGCCATCTGCCAGCCCCGGTCGTCTCATTTTATAGGGGAGAAAGTCAAGGTTCGGAGAGTCCAAACAACCTGCCCGCAGTCACACAGCTCATGTAGCTAGGACTCCAAAAAGCCCGAATTCAATGAGTTCAGCTCCTTTTCAACTAATTAATTCAGTTCAGGGTTAATCAAGTGAATAGTTTCTGGCTCTGAAAATGACAGAACAGAGGAGACAGCACCTGCCCTTGAGCAGCCCCATTAGGACAGACTGAGCAGAAACAAACCACCCCGGCCTGGGCAGACAAGAGGACAGCCAGGCGTCTGGAGCGGGCCAGCACCCGGTACCTTGATAATCTCCTGGGCGATCTGTCTTGTCTTGTTGATGTCCAGAGATGTCTTGGGGTCCCTCACGAATGAGTGCAGTGTCCGCCCCTTGCAGAAGCTGTGGAGGGTGGCAGAGGTCAGCCAGCGGTTGGGACTGGAGCAGCCTGACCCACCCCCCCCAACACACCCCTGTGGAGCTGTGGGGAAAACCGTGCCCACCGGCCTCTGGAGGACTCTCTACTCCTTTGCTATGAGCCCAGGAATCCTCATTCTCTTTTGAAAAGAATATTTTATTTAACTTTATTTATTTGTTTTTGGTTTTGTTTTCTAATTTGACCAGAGAGGGACACAGTAAGAGAGAGAGAGAAAGTGAGAAAGCAAGCTGCCAGGTCCAGGACTTGAACCGCTGTTGGTCATGTGAGAGTCTACCACCCTTAAAACCACCATGCCACCTGCCAGTCCCTAGGACTTTTCACTCTTAACCAAGCTGATGCTCATTCTTGCTGGGGCCTAGCCTGAATGCACATAGACACATGTGAGCACATGTATACACATACACACGCATGCATGTGGCCTTTCTCTGAGGCCCAGGGCTTGCACACTCTATAGTAGCTCAGCAACAACCCTAGAAATTCAGAGAAGTCCCCTGTTGGAGGGTTCAAGACAGGACTATAACCCTTATACTCAGATGAGGGAGACCCTGGCTGTCTGGGGCTGTAACTGGGCAACATCAAAGCTCTGGGGCTCACGGCAAAGATCCTCATCATGGCTGTTACTTTGCATCATGGGGCTCTTGCTATAATAAGGAAGGAAGGAGTAGGGACTATCGGAATGTCTGAGTGGTCACTGGAGAAGCTCCCATTTTGGGGTCTTCACCTATGTTGACTCCTAAATCCCAGGGGGAAGAAGGACCCAGAGAGAACTGCAGTTCATTCCCCTGCTCCACGGTGACACTTACTCACACCACCTTAGGGAGAGACGATTTTTAAGGAAAAGTCTCCAGGGTTCTTAAGACTGTCAACTCTGGAATACTGGCTGATGGCTCCTTACATAGGTTCTATTTTTCCTCAGTACATTAATTGATTAATTAATTAATTTTTGCTCTAGGGCATGTGTATTCACTAAAGAGACAGAGAGACAGAAAGCGAGAGATCAACCCCCAGGGGAGACAGCCACACCATAACTTCTCCTCCTCCATTCCCCTCTTGAGATTTTGGGCATGCATGCATATGAGCCTGGAGTGAGTTTCAAGCTGCTGGGTCTGGGACTCGAACCTCAGTTGGCCATATGGGAGTCCAGTGCCTTAACACTACCTGCTGACACTCAGTTTTTTTAAGTAGGAAATATTTTGCTGTCTCGTTACTGTGTATCCCCCTAGCAGACTCAGCCTTCTTATGGAATAGGATGGATGAAGGAGAAATGGATGGATTAACCCACAGTGTGGGGGCTGTGGGCCTAGGGCTCCTGTGCTGGTATAACCACACAAGGCTACTGAGGGCATCCAGCTGCCGTGCTCTGGGCTGAGGTCTTACGCCCCTGGTAAGGAGATCCTGAGGCGATCTCACTCTGCTCAGAAGTTCTGGTGGGTGGCTACTCATGCGGCCAAGTAAGCAAAATTAAAGCTTTCACTGAGTTCTACGATGTGAGGAGAAGAGAACTTTTTTCCCCAAAGCACAGGGTCCAGTTATAGGGAATACCATCAGAGCATTAATGAGGGTTCTCTTGGCCAATGGGAATAAAGTAATTTTTAGCTTCTTCTTCAAATGTCTATGTATTATATTGTTGGGAAAGTCATGATGTATTTTCCTGTTTTTCTATGTAAAAATGTATCATGACTTTCCAAACAATCCAGCATATTCTGCAATTTCTCTACTGATCTCAGATTGCTTCTCCTGATTTTATTTTTTTAAAGGCTGTGTTTAAAAAATTTTATTTATTATGATTACTTTTTAAAAATTTGTTATAGGCCACACGTGCTCACCAGAGATAGACAGACCTGGGGTGGGGATGAGAAAGCAAGCCGCCAGGTCCGTGACTCGAACTACAGTTGGCCATGTGGGAGTCTAGCACCTTAACCACCATGCGACCTGCCAGCCCAGCTTGCCG